CAAGCTGGACTTGTTCCTGTGATGTGGACACAGAGCTCCACAGTCACTTTGGTTAGCGGTCCCAAAATGATCTGCTCCTTGAAAACGGACAGGCAGCTCCCCTGCAACACACCAAGGTTCCGTGTGGAAGAGAATCAGTGCTCGGCCCCTGACCTCTCTGAGAAGCTGATATGTTCCGCAGGCCAGCAGGTCGTGGTGAGGAGCAACAGGACACCACTCCACCGTGTCCGCACTCAACTCCGTGTCAAACACCTGAAGACTGCGAGTTCTGGACTTCATCGTGGCCACCTGTTCTGCACAGCATCACCGTGCTGAGGCTATAATTACAAAATAAAACATCCTGTCACGCTCCAAGTTCAAAAACAGCTAGATATTAGGGGAAACTTGTACACTTGTACGATAAGATTCCAAGCTAACTCATCTTTAGCTAACACGCTAACAAGCAGGCTAAGCTTAACTTGTGCAATCTTTAACGAGATAAAACACAAAACTATTTAAACTCTTTAAATTCACTGATCAGTTGATGTAACACTGATAAAACATAAAATTACCCATTATCAACAAACCTCGCATGCGTTCAGCCTCAGGTCAACGCTGTGCGTCGTTACGTCATCAGTCAGCGTGGTGGTACGCATAGATATAAACACTAGATCCCTCACTGGCTGCTGCGGCGCAGGATTTTCGAACGCCATCTTGAAACGGTCGTCCTTATTTGGTTAAAGCAGAAGATGTCTCAGCACTTCGCAGCTTATTTCTGTTCTAATCGACGGACTGTTGACGTCAGGTCTCGGGGGATAACTTTTCACAGTAACATGAACATATTATTGTTAGTATTTTGAGAATATAATATTACTGTACTGTATTTATGTCCACCAGCTGATGTGATGTTCAATGTAACACGGTGTTCAGCTGCAATGAGTTCATTAGAGTTCATAAAGTTACATATTTTATTGTGAGTCACAAGGTGAGACACCTCCATGTGTTTCTATGAACAGGTAACTAGAGACTGTAAAGTTCATATTCATGATGTTTTTTCATTTCAGCTTGAAAACTGCAGGACTACAGGAACTGAACAAAAGCTGCAGCTGCTCTGTCTGTGGCCTCTCAGGAACGTGCACGTCTCACACACACTCTCAGGAACGTGCACGTCACACACACAACCTCAGGAACGTGCACGTCACACACACAACCTCAGGAATGTGCACGTCACACACACAACCTCAGGAACGTGCACGTCACACCCACAACCTCGGCCTCATGATGTGAGTATTTCTATTTTAAACTTTTATTTTTCATTTAGCCTTTATTTATCCAGGAAGACTCATTGAGTCACGAGAACTCATTTTCTAGAGAGACCTGTTTAGGAGCAGATGGTGGGGGTTGAGTGCCTTGCTCAGGGGACCAGGGTGGGGCCAATGAGGGTGGAGGCAGGTGTGGGTGTTTCACCTTTTCCACCTCATTTTGATGTTGACAGTACCGGGAGTTGAACCTGCGACTTTCCCATCACAGGCCCATCTTCTAACCTCTGCTCCACCACTCCCCCACATAACATCATATCATACTGGTCATATTAAAATCTCACTGGTTTCCTTCCAGATGTGTTAAACTGGTCCCCTGATGTTTCCAGGTGTGTGTGGTCAGTGGATGAAAAGCCTGGCATGAACAAGATGATGCTGGAGATCATGATTTGACGAGAGCTCCCACCTTCTACCTGTGAAGAACAAGAGCAGCTCAGTGAAGGTGCTGAGAGCTGCAGAGAGGCTGATCCATGGAGCTTCAACACAGCAACCTCCAAACATGTCCACCCTCACACACATCGTCCATGAAGACACTGGACCAGAGCTCAAGATAATAAGACACTGATAACAACAACAACAATGATTCAGACAAATTTACATTTTTTAATTGTTTGTTTGTTTTACAATTGAAAAACAGTTTGTTCTCCACTGTTGTCATCACTCTTTGTTAAAATCCAGGTCTCTCTTGTAAATGAGTCCTATTGGCTCAGTGGGACTAACCTGTATCAATAAAGGTTGAATGAATATAAATATATACATAATGATTTATTCAACCTTTTATTTATACAGGTTGGCTTCATGGAGCCACAAGGACTCGTTTACAAGAGACCTGCTCCAGACACAACAGTAAACAATGGCAACGATAAACTACAGTAAAAATGATAGAGATGATATGTATATATATAAGATAATGAAATTGTAATGTGTGTGTGTGTGTGTATATATATATATATATATA